CATAAGTTATAAATCTTCCGTGTATTTATTTGGGAGCTGGGTGGCAGGCCCCAAAAGAGCAAAGAGTTAAGAAAGAAAGAAAGAAAGAAAGAAAGAAAGAAAGAAAGAAAGAAAGAAAGACAGAAAGGAAGGATTGCAGCCCCAAATAAGCAGGGCTCACTGGGTATCAACCTTGAAAGCAGACATTTCAAGAAAGAATGAATTTCTTTGCTGGCTTTAAAGAGGCAAATGAACAGCTAGGAAGTGGTGGGTTTAATCCCAGCATTCAGGAGGCATAGGCAGGCGGGTATCTATGAGTTCCAGGCCAGCCTGGTCTACAAAGCTACAAAGAGAAACCCAGTCTCAAAAAAGAAAGCAAACAAACAATGTTGTACAACAACAACAAAAAAAGGCAAACAACCATGTAGGGATAGGACCTAGGGCTGGGACCTCAGTATGGGCTCAGCTGGGAGCAGCCTTGGCCAATAGCCAGCAAGAAAATGAAGACTGGTCCTAGACAAGCCTAAAGAGATAGCTATAAATTCTGCCCACCACCAGCTGGGGCAGGGCTCCCTAGAGAACTCTGAATCATGATTCACTGGTGAGCTGGAGCAGAGCTGGCCCCTAGCAGCCAGGACTCCAGTTACAAAGTTACCTTGTGCCTGAAGAGCTTACCTGCAGGCCTTTGAAAGAGCAAATATACACTCCCCTAGACACTGATGTGGTGGTAATTAGTTATTCAGCAACAGAGAACTAATACAGTCGCCTTGGACAAGAAGTGAAGTCCAGTCCTCCTGCTGTGAAATGCAATAGTACATGTAAGTCACCAGCTTTCTACATTCTTATCATCCTGTGTAGATAAAAAAACAAAGCTGTTTCGTGATAGCATCGGCAGAAATGGCATTTACTGAGACAGAGAGCACTGGGGAGTGAGATTCCTTTAGTGCACTGGTTTCATTCAGATCTTAGGGTGTTGGCAGAATGACCTGCCATATGATTTTATGTCTAGCACATCTTGTAGGTAAGGACCCCAGGGCAGAAAGAAATATTTGTTTTACAGGGTTGAACAAAATAGTAAGCCGTTGAGCAACAGTGATGGAGAAGGCTTTGAAGGTAGAGATTAGTCAGTACGATAAACAGTTGCTCAACGCTGGCCAGGAGCAACATGGCATATGAGATTCTGTCCTGCACCATCATCTTAACAAGCTTCCGTGAAGATGAATTTGTGTTGGGGGAAATATTTCATATATGTGAGAACCCGGAGCAGTGGAACCCCCTGCCCAGACAAGCAGCCTTAGCCACTGGAGAAGGAGGTTTGCAAGAGCATGACAATTTTAATATGTCTCTACTCAGCATTTCAAAAGCAGATTAAGAATCTTAAAACAGCAGCTAAGAATTCCCACACAGTGCCTGCAGTGAGTGTTCACAAGAAAAGGCCCAACAATAATCAGGCATGGATAGAGGAGGGTTTGCAGGGGAACCCCTCATGGTTGGGCTATTTGCTGGTGATAGACTCACAGAGAGGCAAGGGCAGGGGACAATCGTCACTTCCACTTGTGGATCCACCTGTCACTGCAACATGCTCCAATGGATAACTCCAATCCAACATTCACTCACATAACCTTGGCTAAACTAGATGTGTCATAAAACAAACCCATAAGTGTGAATCTGGGAAAAGGACAGATAGGGATTGGAAAGGGGTTTGACAGCAATTGGAGGAAGAAAAGAGGGAAATAGTAGTCAGAATACATTGTATCTATATATGAAACTGTCCAAGACAGTAGTAATCGATACAAAATAGGTTTAAAAAAAATTAGTGAGCCATACGGCTCTCTTTAAAAATAAAAAAGTTAACTCATAAAATTCTACCTCAAGAAAGTTAAATGTATTAATATCCTGGGACTGCTCAAAACATGATTGGCCTAAACAACAGAATTTATTCTGTCACATTTCTGCAGTTTACAAGTATGAAATTCAGGGAAGAGCCACCCTACCCCGAGAAGCTGTAGGAAGGGCATTCTTTGGCTCTGGCAGCTTCTGGCAGCCATCTGTGTTTCTTGGCCATCTGTGGGGTCCATGATACATTAATGTCAGGTATTTGCTCTCCTTCCCTGGTGGGTATATGTCTGACTGCCCCCAGGCTTTCTTTTAGAAGCTGATTTGGCAATTTGACCCGTGGTTTCCTTGTGCAGCTCAGGACAGTCCCACTGTAGTTTCTCGGGCCACCTGAGAAGAGTCTCCATTTGAATTAAGTCAAATGCACAGGTTGCATGCATTTGCAAGACCGTATGCCTTTTCTAGGCCTCCATTCAGTACACGCAAGTGGAAATGTGTTCACCTCCTTCTCTAGTATCATTTGTTGAAGCTTTAACCCCAGAGCTCCGAAACATGACCTTCTTTGCAACAAGGCTGATGTCAATGTCATTACTAAAATCAAATGAAGACACTGGTAGTGGGACTCATCATGTCCCACAAGGGAAAACTTGGATCCAGACCCCGGCACACAGAAAGTGGCCCTTGGGATGAAGACAGAGGCCGGCTGCGATGGCTAGTCTTGGCGGGGTCAACAAGACCACATGTGGGATAAACTAAAATCCAAGTTGCTGGGCACACTTGTGAGGAATTTTTCTTTATTGGATCACTTGTGTTGGGAAGACTCGCCCTAAATCTGGGCCATACCTTCTGAGGTCATCTCACATAAAAAGACACAGAAGAAGGAAGCTTCTGCCTTCTCCTGGCTTGCCCTCAGTCTTGCTAGCAAGTGCATTTGCCTTGCTGCTGAGGGATTCCTTCGCTGGTGTTAGAAACTGCTTCTTCAGGATTACAACACAGACTGAAGACCAGCAGCTCTCTCGGAATCCCCTGGGATTCCAGCACCAGATAAGGACTGCTGAGGCAGCCAGGATCATGGAGGGGACAACACACGGATGCTTGGCCTCGCCATCAGGAGACAGCCATTGTTGAACTAGTCAGAGCACAGCCTGTAAGTCACTCTCATAGATGGTGTGTGTGTGTGTGTATGTGTGTGTGTGTGTGTGTGTGTCCCACAGACCCCTAACCACAATGTTTTTACATTTCTGCACCTCAGTACTACCAGATTGCTAGGAGATACCAGAAGCATGCAAGAGTCACAGGATCAATTCTCACTCACAGCCCCTGGAAGGAATCAACCCTGCAGATAGGTGCCTTAGCCCTAACCCTGCAAAGCTCTGAGATGAAGTAGTCTGCAGTGCATACTTTGCAATGGTGTGTCTTGCAGACTGACCCAACATGTAGATGAATACTGCTCACACGATACTTAAATTGTGAATTTTAATTGACAGTAATGTTGCGTTCACCTATGAGCATTCCTCGGAAAGTGGGTCTTTTATTTACTACTTTATAAATAATATAAATATCATGAGCAATTAACTCTCCACACATTTCTCATTTTGTACATTCTTTTGGATTTGCCCTATTAAGTAGAAATCCTATATCTAAGGGTCTAAAAAAAAAAAAAAAAAAAGGAAATGTGCTAAGTTGCTTCCCAAAAAGTTGTGACATTTCTGCTTGTGTTATCTATGTGACTAGTGATTTCTTTTTTTTTTTTTTTTTTTTTTCATTTTGTTTTTATTCTGTGACACTTCAGACTGAACCTAGGGCCCCCTTTGTGGTAGACGAGAGCCTGGTGTACCCCCTGAGCTACATTCTCTGTCCCAGCCTTTGTTTGAGTGTTTGTTGGGGGTTGTTCTGTTTTTTTAACTTTTTGAGACAGGATTGTCACTTTATTAGCCGGGCTATCCATGAACTCTCCAGGTATCCCAGTCAGGCCTTGAACTTGCCACTCTCCTGAGTAGCTGTGGTGAAAGATTTACATACCTTGTTACCATCATTTTCCTGGATCATTTTAAGTACACTCACAGGATTTGAGTCTGAGGACACTTTCGGATTTTTTTTTAAGGGTGTGTCTGTCTGTCTGATCCTACACATTTCTTTCTCTTGCTTTCTTTCACACTGTTACCTATGCAAAACTGCCATCAACCCTGGATTACACTTCCCTGAACTTAATTAAACAGAGCTCAGAAGCAAGGGATTCGGGAGAAGGGTGGATTTTTAACGGGTGAAGACGTTTGCTTTATTAATTTTGACTTTTCATGATTCAAAATTGGTGTCTTTAAGTGCATGCTAGCCTTTATAATAAGAACGGGAGTAACTTTGGTGCCGTATTCTTTCCCATTTTCCTGAACTGGCTGTAACATTTGGAAGACTAACTTCCACATTGTGCAGAGAACTGGGGTGGGCGTTGGCCATTTTTCCTCTGTCCCTGGTTGAGAGGGAATTCTGCTCTCCTGCCTGTCCATCACTCTCCGACTCCCTGGGGGCAGCTTAGGATTTCTGTTTAAGATTTATCAATAACTAAATATGAATAAAATTTTAAAAAGTTAAAGCTTCCAAGAGGAGGGAAAAAAAAAAAAAAAAAAACATTTTCTTGGGAAATGCCAGAGATTACATCTGCCTGCTTCTTCCACAGCCCGGCATCCCTGATCCCTGCCCACCATACAGCTAGCATGAAGAGTCTGCTCTCCAGACTGAACCCAGGGAGGAGGAAAACAAGCCCCAGCCCTCCCTGCGCCACCCCGCCCCCAGCACCTACAGCCCCTAGCCTGTTTAAAAGCCCCTGAGCTGGCGGGTCCCTGCAGCGCACCTCTGCACCTACCTCTGCAGCCTCCATCCACCTGAAGTACAGGGCAGAACAGCCAGATAAATGGGATCTGGGGCGCATTTTGCTAGTGCAATAGGGAGTAATTGTTCCTGCAATGAATCAAATCACACTCTTTCTCTCTCTTACCCTCCCTCCTTCCTCGGCTTTTCCAGACTGGAGCGCCCTCCCAGCTAACTTTCCCCTCACCCAACGATGCACACCGAGGAGGAACCACCCGAAGCCAAGGCGATGCCATCTGCAGGGTCGGAGCGCCCGAGGCCCCTGCGCCGCTCCCGCCCCGGGCAGAGGCCGAGGCTGGGCGCCCAGTGGCGACCAGGAAGGTCGGAGGGAGGGTGCGCTCCTCCCGCCCCACACCCAGTCTCTGAGCCGGATATATAGAGTCACGTTTGGGAGCCCCGAGAGCAGCAGCGCGGTTCAGAACAGCTTGAGAGCCTCCCGCGTCGCTGGGAGGACCCTGACCGCCAGTTGGGGAGCCACCCACCCGCACTAAAGCAGCAGGTACCCAGATGGGCGGTGGGAGACCAGGAGGCTGGGCTGGGGAGCCTGAGGACTGGGTCTGGAGAGCAGTAGCAGGCGGGTCTTACATGAGAGGTCAGTCAGAAGAGAGAGAACCCAGAGAAGGGTTGATCAAGGTGAACATGGACCTCTCCAAGGGACAGAGGCACCTGACTGGTCCCCCTAGTCCGGGGGTTATTCCTAGAGACAGCATGGATATCCGGGCCACGTGTGCTATGGTCCCCTTTCTTATCCTCCCTTGCCCCACCCTGGGCTGTGAACATCCAGACCCTCCCACTCAGAGACTCTCCCGGGTCATGCACCCCAGGCTGAAAAGGGCTTGGGTGGCCAAGTAGGGTCTGTGCTGCTGTGTCAGAAGTTTGTGACTTCCCCAGGTGACTTGGCATCATGGAGAGAACAAGGGGGCAGGTGTCAGGGCATCCAGCTAGGACTTAAGGAAGGCTGCTCACATACACTCATTACTGCAGTCACAACAATTCATGCCCAGCCTAGGAATGCCTTCTACCTGCCAGGCTCCTGACCTGAGCCTCCTTCCTGTCTGCTTACAGGGTAAGAATATGAACATTTTTTTTTTTTTTTTTTTGTCTTCCATGCATTATTTACCGAGTGTTGAGCGACTATGATTATCTCTGTGTCTGCAAGATTCCGGCTACCCTTTAAATCTTGCTGAGTGTTCCATTGTTTGTGATCAAGGGACCAAGTGAGCAAGAAACTCAAGAGGGTTGTGTGTTTTTGCTTGCTTGTTTGAGGCTGTGTCCAGAGTTTGACATTGCAAATGGAAATAGAAGACTCAGCCTGTATCTCCACAACTTGTCTCTCTGCTTCTCCATTTATGTGGTGTTTGATTTGGGGCCATAGTTAACTCTAAGTCACAAAGTAGAACAAAGTAATTAAATAAAATTTAAGGCAGCTTACGAACTGTACAGGTAGTCAGTCTTAGCAAACTTCCCTTTTAGGGGGTGTTGGGGTGTCTAGAGATGGCCAAGAGGTTTCTCCTACCCAAACTTCAAGGACAGCGGTTTCTTTTATGTTGTTTCTGAGACCCTGCATCTTTAACTTACCCTTCCCTTATATCTTTTATTTTCTAAGGGCACCTTGCATGCCTATCTTGAGAGATATTCCCCTCACTCCAAATGATAATTGTGGGGCTGCAATTGTCTATCAGCTGGTCAGTATCACTAGGGGAAAGTACGTGATGGTAAAGGAACTAAAATGTGACCCGGCTGGCTGCTGAAGAGAGATCGCTTCAGAGACCTGAGAACTCAATAGCTAGTCTGCGGGTTCCACCTTGAAGTTTATCAAGGGTGTAAACATCTTGGGGGCTGTAGAGGAGGTTCAGTGGTTAAGAGCACAGGCTTCCTATTGCTGTGAACAGACACCATGACCACAGCAACTCTTATATAGGAAAGCAATCAATTGGGGCTGGCTTACAGTGTAGAGATCTAGCCTGTTATCATCATGGCGGGTGATGTGGAGCTGGAGAAGGAGTTGAGACTTCTACATCTTGATGGGCAGGCAACAGAAAGACAGAGTGACACTGGCCTGGCTTCAGCATTTGAAAACCCGAAGCCCACTCTTGGTTTCTCCAACAAGGCCACGCTTCCTAATGCCACTTGCTAAGCATTAAAATTTGAGCCTATGGGGGCCATTCTTATTTAAACCACCACACTGCTCTTGCAGAGGACCTGAGGGTTGTTTCCAGCACTCACATGGTAGCTTACACCACCCATAACTCCAGTTCTGGGGTATCTGGTGCCCTCTTCAAGCCTACTTGGGCACCTGGCATTATTGGGATACACGTATGTGCATGTAGGCAACATACTTTTATGTATAATATAAATATAATATAATATAATATAAATAAATTTAAGTAAATAAAGTATTTTTAAAAATACAGATACCCTGATCATATCATTTTCCTTATTTTTCTCTTGAAGATCCATATTATATACTTCTTTCTGGCAATATTTGGACAGCCATAAAAATTCATTGTTTCAATTCATTCATTCATTCATTTTTGTCAGGGTCTCATGTAGCCCAGAGTGGCCTTGAACTTGCTCTGTAGCTGAAAATGACCTTGAATATTATATACATACATACATATATGTGTGTGTGTGTGTGTGTGTGTGTGTGTGTGTATATATATATATATCATGTCTCACCTCTCCATTTTATGCAGTGCTAGGGGTGAACCCAGGGCTTCTGTGCGCTAGGCAAGCACTCTTCCAAACAGACTGCGTCTCCAGGTCCAGAAGGCTTCACAAGTACCATCTCAGGGGGTCAAAGCAACCTATTTGCTCCCATCATCATGCTCTGATGCTGAGTTCTCTGGGAACATACACACTAGTGGCAAGGACACATTCTTCATGTTTTGTTTGGTTCACAGACCACTCTGAATATCTAATAAAAAAGTTACAAGATACAAAACCAAACACACTTTCGGAAGTTCACAGCTCCCTGATGCCCAAACATCCAGATTCCACATATATCATATACCCCCACTTCTGTGGAATTCAGACTGGAGAGTTGAGCAGAGCCCCGCAGTGCGAAGGTTACTCAGCTTAACCTTGAACTGTCACTACTGACTTAACAAGAGGCTTTTCACATCTTCATTCAGCACTGGGTTTCCATTGTACCCTGACCCCAGATCCACAGCCCCGTTTCAGAGCTTACTGGGCACTGTGTTTTTCTCACAGCAACCCTAATTCAGGTGAGTTTCCTGTAAGGGCGACGTTAACCTGTAAGCCCCACTTGCCCAAGGACAGATAACTTTCTGGAATGCTGGGGGCTATGGTTCTTGTGAAAGAAGAGGCCATGTGTTTTCACATCAGTAACAAGGTCGGTTGCCCCAACTGTACAGGATGTGCTTGATCACACTTGGGTAGGAGATACACAGACAGGAAGTACGTCAGGATGTATGCTTACCCCTGATTGGATGAAGGCAGGAGGTACCATAGCCTTGTGTGGGGGGTTGCCTTTAGGAGTACCTGACTGACCTAAATTCAGGGCCATTTCTTCGGGAATCCTGAGTATGGTCCTGGCCAGTACTAAATAAAGCTTGTTTATTTAGTACTGGTCTGGAGTTGGTCTGTCTCCTCACAATTTTCAGGTTTAACATTTCCCACCACAGACTTAGAATTCAAGTCTGTGCCTCAGAATACATCATTAAGCTTCTCTTTATTTGGATTTCTTTACTGGCACAAGCATGAAAAACCATTTATCTTAAAGGTACTTTGTATTTGAGCATAAAAAAGAGATAATTAAGGCATGCACGGTGGCACATGTCAGTAACCCCAGCACTCAGGAGGTGAGGGCAGGTAGGATCAGGAGTTTAAGGTATCCTTACTTATACAAAAATATCTAGGCCAGCCTGGCCAGTCAGGAAGCTGCCTCGATTGAAAGGGAGAGAGATGGTAGTTGCAAATAGTCCTAGCAACCAACCTGGAATAGTTCCGTGTTAATAATAATGGTATGAAAGGGAACCTGTTCACTACATTTTTATAAGTAGCAGTGTTCGATATTTTAAATACTGATTAAATGTTATGTGTACAAGACTGGAATTGCCAGCTGCGTGTAAGGGATAACATCTTGGAAGACACTTGCTAAGATGAACTAATGCTTGAGCTATCCTCAGACTGAGTGGTGACTGAACAGTAACATTTTCTTCAGTAGTGTTTAGTTGGGTCATTTAGTTGTCTAAGAGCTGTCAATCAGTTCAAGCTAGCTTTTCCCAGTCGTCCTCCGTAACTCTGATGCCTGCTAAGGAGGAGCTGAGAAGCTGCTGCCTTGACAACTCGTCTCTCGTGTGGGACTTTTAAACCGTCTTCTACAGAGCTTCCTGAAATTTTGAATCTGCCTTGGTAGGGATTGCTGAAGGCTCTTCTGCCACAGGCTCGCTCGGCTGATCTATATTTTAAGGAAGTAAATCTCCACAAAGTCAGTAAGGAGAAGGGGCTGGACAAATGAAGGATTAGAATCAGGGAGAGTTCAGGGCAAGAGAGCTATGAGGGAAAGGCAGAGGTAGCAAGGACTTGAGGCTTGAGTGCAAGTCTGAGTGAGTCCAGGGGGAGGTCGTCAATGAGGGTAGAAGAAGCTTGAGATTGATTCTTCTGCAGATACTCCTGAGTGTTAAAGGTGTATGTATTTTTATTTTTAATTGTGTGTGTGTGTGTGTGTGTGTGTGTGTGTGCACGTGTTTAGGTATGCACATGAGTGCAAGTGGAAGCCTCAAGCTTCAGATGTGCCCTAGAGCTGGAATTACAGGTGGCTATAAGTTGCCCTGTGTGTGTGGGGGGGGGGGATGCTGAGAAGCAAGCCCTGCAGGAACGCCTGCTTCTCCTCTGAATCTTCTCTCCATCCCTGTCCGATGCTTGAATTCAAAGCTGTGGGTTCTCTGCTACTGCACTCCCAGGGCCCATAAAGAACAGAAAGGACAAAACAGAACTCCCAATGCCTCTGAAAGGGACACCGGCCAAGCAGAGAAGGGATATGAAAGAAAGGAGGAAAGGCTCTCATTTCAGGCTCTTCTGCTGTTTAAATTATTTTTAAATCCACACTCGCATTTTATAATTTTTAAAGGTTATCACCACGACGGATATAGCTCCTGCTTTTCTGGCTTGAGCTTAGATGGGATGTGTTATAATTTCCTAAAATGGCAAAGACCAGGGAAGGGAGGACTGAGCCTCATCAAAGGGTTTATTCTAAAGCACAGTTCACTCCCTTACTAAAACCCTTCTCTCCTTCCTCCCCTGGGACAGTAGTTGGGATATTAGCAGTTAAGTGGGAAAAAAATGGAGGGGTGGGGGAGGGCAAGCTTTTGCAGGTGAGACAACTCGAAAATACTTGGTTTAACCCAGTTAAGTGGTTTTACCACAGGAATCCTCCGAGCCCACAATATCCTAATGAAGATTGAAAATCATCAAAGGTGAAGCATGTCTCCTGTGGTATTTCCTAGACCTGTGACCTTCAAATGCTTCTGGGGG